TTTTTTTTTTACTCAAAAGTATGAGCTCCATATCATCACTATATCAAACTTTAAGAGCCATAAAAGCTGGTGTATCAAATATAATACTAAAAAACATGACTTTTGTCAAGTTCAACAAACAGTTCCATTTTTAAATAAAACATCGGGACTATTATTTCATATTTAAAACTTTATATGTTTATGGTAAGCACCAATATGCCCTCCCATAATCATAAACATTCTTACAGTGAATGTCTGGCAACCACAGCCGATTTATTTTATTTATTTTTTACAATAAATTAATCTGCTACTGTGTATTATGCTGGAAAATCAATCTGAAGCATTCTGAGGTTTAGGTGTCTGTTATTCATGTCTCATACCTCCGACACTATTGGGTACACCTGATCCAAACAAAGGCTGAGGATGCTGGGTAGCAGAGGTTTGAACGTCTGCCCGGGTTCTTGAACCACCACCTGAAACAATAATACAAAGATAAACTGTGAATGACATGTTTAATAAACACAGAAACCCAAACGCAAAAGTGGCTTTCATTCCGTTTACCTGCAGAATCTTGAGAAACTTCTGAACCACTTTGGAACCAGAGCTGCCCTCCTGTAAGATGCTCACCGCCAGCTGCTCTCTGAGGAACACGGTGAAGGTGATTGATTAGCACTCATACACATTCAGAAACAACTGCTTGTGGCTCTCAGTGTCAGCACAAGCTGTGAAGGTCACCTGGTGAACATGCTGAGGAAGGTCTGGATGATCTGCTCTGTGAAGGCCACGCCCATCTGCACACGCAGCGCTTGAAACAGCGTGAGAAAGAAACTCAGCATCTCATCCGTCACATCTGAGAGAGAGACGACGTCAGAACAATCAAACTGAACAAATATGATTATGACACTCAAAGGCAGTGAAGACGACGTTGTCAAACGCTGATGAAAGACCACTGGCTGTAAAAGTGATGGTTTAGTTACCTGGCTGCTGGATGAAGAGGGGGAAGAGCGCGAGCGTGACCTGGACAGACTCCTGCAGGCTGTGGTAACAGATCTGACGGGATTTGGTTGCCTCTCCTGATATACTGTCCACCAGATCCCTCAACACACACAGAGTCTGCTGGATCACCGCTTTACCTGAGGGACACAGAATGATTTCATTTATTAGCATTTAAAGATTAACTGGTAAAAAGCAAGTCTTTAAAAAAATTAAATAAAAAAAGAATACAATTTGATCTAGATACATATATAATTTTATTTTAATATTTTATTTTAGCCATTCATTTTACATTTATTCAGCAGCAAGGACATTTTGAATTGATCACAATATTGAATTCAAATAAAAAAA